CAGCATTTCAACCTCTGAAGCAACTCGAAAATGCTCATATTTTGGCCCGGACAGCTGAAGGAAGTCCCTTCTCTTCAGAGTTGTTGCAGTTTTTTCATCTGTCAGTGCAGTGGTTCGATTAAAAGTTTGAAATTGACTGAATTATAAACCAGGCTGGTGTGTTGACTTCATGGCTCCTATCAAGCATAGGGGCTACCATACGATGCCTATGTCCTTGTTTTTTATTTTTTTTTCGCAGTCGCTTCAAATTTTTTCTGAAAAAAAATCCGTGGACCAACATATCAAATTGGTGTGGCCAGAAACCAAATCATGTCACTCCCCAGCCTCATATTGTGCATAGTTCTTTTCATGACTCATAGGACATGACTTTTGTTCACGTCCATTTAACACACTCAGTTGTCGAGTGAAATGCTCTTGTACCATTGTCTCATAATTCCCTAGATGCACTAACACTCCAACAGTTCGAAAAGATTTTGTTCTTGCACAATACAACCTTGTCTGTTCCCCAAAACCTCTTCTTAAATTATGTTGTCCAACAATCTGTTGTTTATTGTACTCAGTTGTTGAGTGATATGGTCTTTGCTATTGTCTCATTTCCCTAGATGGACCAACACTCCAACAGTTGGAAAAGATTTTGTTCTTGCACAATACAACCTTGTCTGTTCCCCAAAAACTCTTCTTAAATTATGTTGTCCAACAATCTGTTGTTTATTGTACTCAGTTGTCGAGTGAAATGCTCTTGTACCTTTGTCTAATTTCCCTGGATGGACAAACACTCTTGGAAAAGATTTCGTCCCTGCTGTACAATACAACCTTGTCTGCGCCCCAGAAAACTCCCCTTAAATTATGTTGTGCAACACTTGATTCCTCCGACGTCTACAGGGAACTACAACAAAGTGCTGTTGATCCTGCCAAAGCCCGTCTACAGCAAAACATGGACCCAGCAAAGTCGTCGCACCCTGAAGTGGTGACACAGACGACGCCTCCAGCGCACAAAAGAGACACAGTTTGCTCCGCCGAGATAATGACACTGGCGATGTGGCCTGCGCCGCGTCGCCATAGAAAAACCGTAAGCCTTTCAGATAAAACCTGTAGCTGTAATCCTACCTTGTCTGCAGCCTTCTCCGACAACAGATCCAAATCTGAAACCCAACAGGTCTTGCTGTTGACGGGGACGTACAGTACTACCACCGCTGCACACACACACACGTTCGTACACTTCGCAAGTACAACCGCCCTTGTTCCACTCTCACCAGTGCCAAATCAGATCCATGTAAATTGGTAGGTTCGGTGCAACTTATACCCGACCATCCCCGGCTCCCTGTGTGCCTGCCTGTAGGGTAGAGGGGCAACTTGCATGTCGAGCCCAGCCAAGTGAGTTAGCTGGACCGTGCTGGGATAATTCCAACCACATGAGGGCATCTCCGACTAAATCAATCTCAGGTTTGGCCTGGATGCCTGGCTCAGTATCCTATATCCATAATCACTGTGGGGATAAATCATCGCCAAATGAGCCAGGCCGGGGCCTCCAGGCGGCAAGCTGGGTTTTCGGCCCCTTTTCCTCTTCTGACAGCACATGAAACTTTAACGCGCACACACCACAAACCCTAGCCTCCACCAGGCCTTTCTACGGGAATACGGATCGTAGCAAATTCGAAGAGGCAGTGGCAGCAAGCTGGGTTTTCTGCCCCTTTTCCTCTTCTGACAGTACATGAAACTTTAACGCACACACACCACAAATCCATAGCCTCCACCAGGCCTTTCTATGGGATTACGAATCGTAGCAAATTCAGCAAAAGGTGCTCCTATCCTCTAACAGTGAAATTATGAAACTTTTACACACACACACTCCAAATCCATAGCCTCCACCAGGCCTTTCTACGGGAATACGGATCGTAGCAAATTCAGCAAAAGGTGCACCTATCCTCTAACAGTGAAATTAGGAAACTTTCACACACACACACACACACTCCAAATCCTTAGCGTCCACCAGGCCTTTCTATGCGAATACGGATCGTAGCAAATTTGGAGATCGGAGTAAATCGGCCAGGGGAGTCAGTCTGCAGAAGGTCGGTTCTTCCCCTCCAAACTGAGCGGCCAGTCAAACCCCAAGGCGGCCAAACTCCCCTGGCAAATATCCTCTCATAACATATATCCAGCGTAGTTAACTAGTATGGTAGAGACTACCAAATCCTGCCCGTACACACATCCTGTCTGCCTGAGGCAGTCTTCCTGCCTCCGGTGCCCCCCTGCTCCCAGCTGCCTGATCCTCCCGATGCCTCTGCCCTGCCTGTTTTCTTTCTAACCTACTCCCAAGCCCGATCCACTTGGACTCAAGTCCTTGTGTCAATACAAAAACATCCCCCTGGCACAGGGCTGGCCCTGATGGGTAAACACTGCCACTATGACCATCAACATTTGCGTTGGAAACTTTCCTCTCTGTGGTCAAACTACTACTAACAGCTTTCTGGGATATTAACTTGGGGGCGGAGCCGGGAAGTTAATTAAATCATCCATCACACTCTCTCAGTCTTGCCCCTTTTCAGTTTTCTGCTGCTTCTTACAACTCCGGTGAAAGGAATCAAAGACACGAGACTCGGGCTACACGTTGTGATCGAAGGGCGACAAAGGATATAAACCCACATCTCCAGCCAGACCCTTCAGAGGCATTGTGTAAGGATGTGAATGACTGTATCGTGCAATATTGCTGTGGAACAACTTACCATATCATGTTAAAACACTGAGTAACCTACTCAGGTTCAAAAGAGCTATCACAAACAGTGTTACATGAGCCTCTACCTCTAGTTTTTAATTTGTAAATATCAATTTGCGTGTTCCTTGTTGATGTTCTGATGTATTTATGTCTTTTTCAATGTATTCACTGTATTTTCACTGGGACCCCCCCTTGCAGGCCCTCTTATAACTGACTGCAGCATACAGCCAAGAAGTGAAGAAGCTGGCACAAGAAACCTGCTAGAAGCCCACCCCATGTCCCTATTTAAAGCTGCAGACAGATCCCAAATTTTGGCACCCATAAGAAAAAAAACTCCCTTTCCTCCCTTTCCTGGACGAGGTCACGTATCAACAAAAGTCGCCGTCTAAAACTGGTCCTGTACACGAACAGCCTGGGTACACAGGTTCTACACCCCAGGTCACACCATTGCTATCAATTCTGTAACAGTGAAACCAAAAGCCGGGGTCTGCCAAAGTTGCAGCTCTCTCCTGCTAAATTGGAAACTTCGTTATACCGCAAAACAATGGGAGTCACGGGAAGCTCGAGTGTTACGGTTGCAAGGGTCGGTTTGAACTGAAATTGAACACAAAACTGAAATGAACCACCTGTGAGGCCCCGTTTAGTTAGATTTTGTGATCATTTCACCATTTACAACAATGTAAAACTGTGTACATGACCTAAAAGTTATCACCTTTTCAAATACTTTCTAACACGATAGAATTAGAAGTCTTTAGAAAAGCTCGTAAACACGTGAGGTACGTTGTACAAACAGTCAGTGGTGCTTACAACATCTTGTAAAGACTCCAGCTGTCAACATTATTTCCATAAAACAAAAATACAACATCACATTATAGCATGGCCAGTCAGGATTTCCGTTTGAAAAAAAATGGAACACAACACTAGACGTAGAGCAACTTCATCCGTCAGGCCGTCATAATAACATTAACAGAACTACCAAAAGTACCATCAAGTTCATCAACTTCCAATGATAGTTCTCACCAGGCTGTTTGAGTGTAGGGGCCCCCTACGCTGTGATTTTGACCCCCTACGCTGTGATTTAGCCCCCTACACTGTGTTTCAACCAGCGTAGGGGTGGTGTTGGGGGGCAGAAGCTTCATTAATCTTTAAAAAAATGAAAATAAACTTAAGAATGAAGCTATAACAAAGGGAGAACAAAATCTGTCCCCCAATAAACAATAAATAGTGTCTTAAGTGGTTAATATGAGTTACAAAATTTTTTTGGGGAGAATATCAGACCCACGTTTGTGGGACTCGGTGCGTGACTTGTGCCGCAGAAAGTTGCCCTTCTATACCTGACCCCTACACTGTGAAAAAATCCTGGTGAGAACTCCATCCAACCTTTCTTTCAACCCATCTTGTGAAATGTCCTTTCATAAAAAGGTACAGAGCTACAGATCAGGTAAGAGGAAGTCAGTTTCAACCAAAAAATTGTCGTCAGATTTTCATGGAGACTCTTCAGATACAACTGATGTTATCATTGTTTGAGATACTCTTTATATTCTTTGATAAGGAAGAGATATATCTCTTGCTTTCTAAAATTTCTAGTTAGATGAGACTTGAAGGTTTGTTTGTTTTGTTTGTTTGTTTGTTTGTTTGTTTATTGCGATCTCCATTAGTAAGGTAAATTTTGTAATCCAGACCAATGATCCTGACAAAATATTTCTCAGTAGTCACGTACCAGCGCTCCCCCCCCCCCCAAAAGAAATTTAAACAGCGGCGCTCCAAGAAGGCTGGGCAGGAGGCTACACGGCCCAGCGGGGAGGAACAGTGATAGATGGACAGCCATTCTGAATAACAGGCTGTCCCCAGGACATGCAGGGGAGATGGCCAATACACCCATTCCTGTATAACCTCCCCCTGAGACCCAATTTTCTGAGGGGCAGCAAACAAATTCAGGCTGCAGCACGAGGACCTTTTGACACCGCTTTCAAAGGATTCCTTCCATTGAGAGAGAGAGAGAGAAAATCTCTGATTGTTTGTTTCATGTGGGTAAACAATTGTAAGAAGCGAAAAAGCTGCTAATTATATGCTTGACAAAGGTACAAAGCGGGCGGGTCAGGATTTCGTAGTCCGCCGTGCGTGCAGCTTCCAAAAGTTTTACGTCCGCATGTTATAATATAAAAGCTGGTCACACATCTGCGAGTGTTAGATTTCAATGTGGGCAGAATGAAGAAGGTCACTGTTGAATGCTGGCCTCTTGGGTAAAACTTTGATGGCACATACAACAATGCTGAATGCTCATTATTACTACTACTTCTTTTAAGTGCAAAACAGACAGCCTAGCAAAAAAGCCTAAAAACATGCCAAAAAATAAGGCCCTGTCCAGAACCAACAAATCAAATTGGTGTGGCCTAACAATGACGTTTCTATAATAAAAAAAAACCCTGTCCTTTTCCTTGGCATCCGGCTTCGCTCGTTCTTTTCATTTAATTGGTTTAAAGGTGACAAAGGTGAGATGGATCCATTTAACGAGCACTTAGATTTGTCTTTTCCGGTCTTTTGTTGAGCTGTTTAACAGATAGTCATAACCAAGGTCTCCATATCAAGTACCAATGGGCTGTCATTATTGTTAAAAAAACAACACTATCTACTGATATGAAGATCAGGATATCCATGGAAAACTCTAGCACACGACATTCATATCAGATCAACTTCAAGTATATGGAGATCCTCGACCACTGTGGATATTCCTACCTACTGCATATTGATAGTACAACCTGTGATCCTCAACATATGTATAAAGTATTAAGGACAAGACTTTCAGACATGTACATTCAAACTTTCTTCCATAGCTTGTCTGTTAATACCGGTAAACTGAGATTCTATAGAAAATGTAAAACTGAATACTGTCTAGAACAATACCTAGAACACTGTGACTTCGAGCAGCGCTCCGCTATTAGTAAAATTAGAATCAGTGCCCACCCCCTGGAAATCGAAAAAGGGCGATATATGAAACTGCCTGTGTCGGAGAGAATTTGTAAATATTGCTCCTCAAATGCAGTGGAAGACGAAATCCATTTCATCTCTAACTGTCCATTTTATGACGACACCAGAAAACAATTATTTAGCACCGTGTCCAAAATACTCCCTTACTTCCCCACCGTTCCCTACCACAAAAAAACATTTTTACTACTAAAATCAAAGAACCCACATATTATAGAAGAAGTGGGTAAATTCGTCTTCCACTGCCTAAAAAGAAGAAGTCAAACCCAGTAAAACTAGTACCATGTATGTTGTAGAATATAGTATAATGCTAGACGTAGATATAGTCTGCAATTAGCCCTCGGGCATGTATTTGCAATAAACTTTCTTCTTATAGTAGAAAATGCAGTGGTAGCGCATGAAACTGGTGATCTATTCATTATAGTATAGTTGGTGTTGGAGTTACTTAATAATCATAATACTAGCACTCGCCAAGAAGGTTATGTCTTCAGTAACATTAACGTGTGTGTGTGTGTGTGTGTGTGTGTAA